CACACACACACACACACACACACACACAGAGAGAGAGAGAGAGAGAGAGAGAGAGAGAGAGAGAGAGAGAGAGAGAGAGAGAGAGAGAGAGAGAGAGAGAGAGAGAGAGAGAAGCTTGGCGCCAAGGGTGCCCTGCCGCACCATTGGTCCATTCAGGGTCGAGTTGCAGATGATTGGTCGAGAGCCCGGTCCTCTGCAGCTTTATTTTCAAGTTTCGTCATGACACGACACCGTTCTGTCTTGGTGCTTTTCAGACAGACATAAACACACACACACACACGTACACACACACACACACACACACACACACACACGTACACAGACACACACACACATACATACAAACACACGCGGGTGCGTGCACACACACACACGCACGCGCACACACACACACACACACACACACACACGTATGCTAACACATGCACGCTTACACGCACGCACACCAAAGCACTCACCCCTTTCCTGTTAAGTCTTTTTGTTTCTCACCCTTACCGCCGGACAATCTTGCCCGCCAACAACATCAACTCTATTTGTGTAAACACACACACACACACACACACAGAGAGAGAGAGAGAGAGAGAGAGAGAGAGAGAGAGAGAGAGAGAGAGAGAGAGAGAGAGAGAGAGAGAGAGAGAGAGAGAGGATGCTCTCCATACGTCAGCTCGCGACTCGTACGGCGCGCTTCGGACAACGTACTACTCAGCGTCCATCCTACGGGGCGAGAGTTATCACCATGCAGATGCTGCCAGACTACTGCCGGGAGGTCAAGTCGGAAGAACGAAACACACACGACCTCAGGAGCCAGTCCATACCAGGAGTTCGGCAGATGCAAGTCCAGACAGAAAGGGCCATCGCACTTGTTGCTAAAGGTCGGCCCCACACGGGAAAAAACCCAGTCCATGAGAACCCAAAGCGGTGTCCGCTCGAGCCCGATCCGAGTTCCCCATCCGCCGGTGGGATCATAGGTTGTGCCACCAGGCTGTTAAAGTCTCGCCTCACCCGGGACGAACCCTGTCAATGAAGTCCGACTAGTGGCCTGTTCCAGCACGAACCTACTCCCCCACATATATACGTGTCGGCGCGTTTTATGTAGACTGCCGGCTGCACTGTCCCATAAGCACCATGTTACGTAACAGACAAAATTCCGGCCCTCCGCGCGCAACCCCCTCCTCCCCCCGGTAGCCACCCCACACGACAAGAGGGGCCGCCACCTGCCCCCCTCACCGCGTGCACCCCCCTACCCACAAACGATATCCCACCATCATTGGTGGGTGGCAACCTCACCGGGGCTGTCAGCCGCCCCCGATGCCCCAGCCGAGGAGGGTCCGTTGCCAGAGGTGCCTGGGCCTAGGCTGTTCCCCGCACCCACAGTCGTCGCTGCCGTGTCCCCGCCGGCTCACGGGCACCGGGAGCACACGGGGGACACCCTGGGACACCCTGGGACACCCTGGGACACCCTGGGACACCCTGGGACACCCTGGGACACTCGCACAGCGCCCACCAGGGGCCCGGGGGCCGCCCACCGAAAAGCGACCCAGAAATCGGCCTCTGGCCTGGATATAGACGCCTCGCTGGGAGCGAGCGCCGCAGTGGACAAAATTGTCATTTCTATCGGGAAATCGGGCTCCTCCCGAGTAAAAACGGACAGGGGATTGCAGTTTGCCCCGGGCGCCGGGAGTGCCCCCCGCTGCAGTGCCCCGACCCCTGCCCGTGCACTGGGGTCCGTTGGCAGAGGTAGGGGTCCGTTGGCAGAGGTGTGTGGGCGCAGGGGTCCGTTGGCGGAGGTGGGGGTCCGTTGCCAGAGGTGGGGGTCCGTTACCAGAGGTAGGGGTCCGTTGCCAGAGGTGGGGGTCCGTTGCCAGAGGTGCCTGGGCCTAGGCTGTTCCCCGCACCCACAGTCGTCCCTGCGGGCCCCCGCCGGCTCACAGGCACCGGGAGCACACTGGGGACACCCTGGGACACACGCACAGCGCCCACCGAGGGCCCAGGGGCCGCCCACCGAAACGCGACCGTCACTGGAATTTCGGCAAATTTACCCAGAAATCGACCTCTGGCCGGGATATCGAGGCCTCACCGAGAGCGAGCGCCGCAGTGGACAAAATTGTCATTTCTATCGGGAAATCGGGCTCCTCCCGAGTAAAAACGGACAGGGGATTGCAGTTTGCCCCGGGCGCCGGGAGTGCCCCCCGCTGCAGTGCCCCGACCCCTGCCCGTGCACTGGGGTCCGTTGGCAGAGGTAGGGGTCCGTTGGCAGAGGTGTGTTGGCGCAGGGGTCCGTTGGCAGAGGTGGGGGTCCGTTGGCAGAGGTGGGGGTCCGTTGGCAGAGGTGGGGGTCCGTTGCCAGAGGTGGGGGTCCGTTGCCAGAGGTGGGGGTCCGTTGCCAGAGGTGCCTGGGCCTAGGCTGTTCCCCGCACCCGCAGTCGTCGCTGCCGGGACCCCGCCGGCTCACGGGCACCGGGAGCACACGGGGGACACCCTGGGACACACGCACAGCGCCCACCGAGGGCCCGGGGGCCGCCCACCGAGGGCCCGGGGGCCGCCCACCGAAACGCAACCGTCACTGGAATTTCGGCAAATATACCCAGAAATCGGCCTCCCCCGGGATATCGAGGCCTCGCCCGGAACGAGCGCCGCAGTCGACAAAATTGTCATTTCTATCGGGAAATCGGGCTCCTCCCCACAAGAACGCGGAGGGGACCGCGGGGTGCACCGGGGTCCGTTGGCGGAGGTGTGTGGGCGCAGGGGTCCGTTGCCTGAGGTGGGGGTCCGTTGCCAGAGGTGGGGGTCCGTTGCCAGAGGTGCCTGGGCCTAAGCTGTTCCCCGCAACCACAGTCGACGCTGCGGGACCCCGGCCGGCTCACGGGCACCGGGAGCGCACGGGGGACACCCTGGGCCAGGGGGCCGCCCACCGAGGGCCCGGGGGCCGCCCACCGAAACGTGACCGTTACTGGTATTTCGGCAAATTTACCCAGAAATCGCCCTCCGGCCGGGATATATAGGCCTCGCCTGGAGCGAGCGCCGCAGTTGACAAAATTGTCATTTCTATCGGGAGATCGGCCTCCTCCCGAGTAAAAACGGACAGGGAATCGCAGTTTGCCCCGGCCGCCGGGAGTGCCCGTAGTGCCCCGCTACAGTGCCCCGACACTTACCTGTGCACTGGGGTCCGTTGGCAGAGGTAGGGGTCCGTTGGCAGAGGTAGGGGTCCGTTGGCAGAGGTGTGTGGGCGCAGGGGTCCGTTGGCGGAGGTGGGGGTCCGTTGCCAGAGGTGGGGGTCCGTTGTCAGAGGTGCCTGGGCCTAGGCTGTTCCCCGCACCCACAGTCGTCGCTGCCGGGCCCCCGCCGGCTCACGGGCACCGGGAGCACACGGGGGACACCCTGGGACACACGCACAGCGCCCACCGAGGGCCCGGGGGCCGCCCACCGAAACGCGACCGTCACTGGAATTTCGACAAATATACCCAGAAATCGGCCTCCCCCCGGGATATCGAGGCCTCGCCTGGAGCGAGCGCCGCATTCGACAAAATTGTCATTTTCTATCGGGAAATCGGGCTCCTCCACACAAGAACGCGGAGGGGACCGCGGGGTGCACCGGGGTCCGTTGGCAGAGGTGTGTGGGCGCAGGGGTCCGTTGCCGGAGGTGGGGGTCCGTTGCCAGAGTTGGGGGTCCGTTGCCAGAGGTGACTGGGCCTAGGCTGTTCCCCGCACCCACAGTCGACGCTGCCGGGCCCCCGCCGGCTCACGGGCACCGGGAGCGCACGGGGGACACACTGGGCCCGGGGGCCGCCCACCGAAACGCAACCGTCACTGGTATTTCGGCAAATTTACCCAGAAATCGCCCTCCGGCCGGGATATAGAGGCCTCGCCGGGAGCGAGCGCCGCAGTTGACAAAATTGTCATTTCTATCGGGAGATCGGCCTCCTCCCGAGTAAAAACGGACAGGGAATCGCAGTTTGCCCTGGCCGCCGGGAGTGCCCGTAGTGCCCCGCTACAGTGCCCCGACACTTACCTGTGCACTGGGGTCCGTTGGCAGAGGTAGGGGTCCGTTGGCAGAGGTAGGGGTCCGTTGGCAGAGGTGTGTGGGCGCAGGGGTCCGTTGGCGGAGGTGGGGGTCCGTTGCCAGAGGTGGGGGTCCGTTGCCAGAGGTGCCTGGGTCTAGGCTGTTCCCCGCACCCACAGACGTCGCTGCCGTGTCCCCGCCGGCTCACGGGCACAGGGAGCACACGGGGGACACCCTGGGACACTCGCAGACCGCCCACCGAGCGCCCTGGGGGCGCCCACCGAAACGCAACCGTCAATGGGATTTTGGCAAATTTACCCAGAAATCGGCCTCTGGCCGGGATATCGAGGCCACGCCGGGAGCGAGCGCCGCAGTCAACAAAATTGTCACTTCTATCGGGCGATCGGGCTCCTCCCGAGTAGAAACGGGGCGGAGAGCGCGGTGAGACCCGACAGCCGGTGGCTGCCTCGCTTGCGCCCCGGCCCTAGGACGCCGACACACGTGCGTTGGGGTCCGTTGGCAGAGGTGCCTCGGGTCTGGTGACAGAGGTGGGAACTTTGTCATTTTTTTCCCCCCTTGATGTACGGTACGGGCAGCTTGCTTTTGTGTGCAACTGTCCGTTCATTTTTTAAAATTTGTTAGATTATTTTTAAGTTTCTATTTTTATTTAAAATTTATTTATTTTTCTTTACAGATCAGAAGAAAAAAGAAAACCCTCCTTTTTTGTGGGAGCTCTCCTAGGATAACACCCAAGATGCACACACACAGACACACACACACAGACACACACACACACACATAGACACACACACACACACACACACACACACACACACACACATACACACGCATACACACATACATACACACACACACATGCACGCACACATCCTCTCCTTTTAGCATATCTTTGCACATAAGCGTAGTAATGCGCAGTCGAATGCACACGCACTGGCACACACACGCACGCACGTACGCACGCATGCACGCACGCACACAC